AGACATTGAGTGACAGTAAATAGAGACATAGCTGTGTCTATTATCTGATACCGATCTACACATACAGACTTCATGAAACATTAATGTCCCAGCATCCTGACAGATGGGCTGCTGATAAACACGCATTTCGCTCCTCATACTCCCTTTTTACACGATTTTCGACTCTACACCATTTTAATAAGGGTGGAGTAAAAGTTGTTGGGTGAAAATGTAATTTTGTCGCCGTATTTCGAAGTGTCATATTCGCTGTGGTCGAGAAATGAGCTGCGATGTATGTTTGTGTTGCGATGCGTTTCAAAGAAGTTTCTATGTTTTTTTTTATTTTGTAATTTCATAGGTTTTACAAAACACGTCCTTACTATATTACCTTTCTTAAATCTTTTAGTGGGTATTGTTTTAAAAATCTCAGTGTTGTACAGCCCTAATTGACTTGGAGAGTTAGACTATGATTTATTCAAAACAATGTTACGTAAATGCGAGTTTTCCTCGTCCAACACACGAAGGTAACGTCCACAGCTTTTAAAATATTCATAAATTCATTAAATCGGTGGATTTTTTTAAAGAGACGCCCATAGAATGTTATTTGGCATCAAGGATATTTTTCCTATTTTATTTGTTTGTTTTTGTACCTGCTTTCCAGTATCTTGTACGACTGACAGTTATTCATACAGTTGTAAATTAAAAAAACATTAAATAAAACTGTTAAAAAACAACTATTACAGGCTCTTAATAATGACGAATTTGACAGTACAATTATTATATCTATCTATACATATAATAAAATCGTAAGAAAGTGGAAACTGTACATTGAATATTTTAAAAAAATGCTTTTTGCGTGAACTACAGTCGATACCGAAACTAATAATATTGTTTTTAGAGTTTTTGTCTGTTTGTCTGTATGTATGTCCGGGATGATCTCTAAAAGTACTGCATACATATACTTCAAATTTTGCATGAATATTACTAACAGGTCGGGCCAACATATAGGCTACATATTATTATACTATCAACTACGGGGGAGCTGTGAATCACTATTCCACGCGGACGAAGTCGCGGGCTCAGCTAGTATTTATTAAACACAATGAAAACTTGATAATGATTATAACTTCTATAGGGAAGGGAAAATTACTTTCGTCAAATCATTTCAACATAAAATGGAGTACCTACATTCTTATAATAAATCAGAAAAGTATTTTTATCCAAAGAGTCTACCAGTAATGTTCTCAGAATTGTAGTAAACTTTTGATATCAACGAATCTCGTGTTGGGCATAACACTTTTAAGGTCTGTTTTTATAATAACTATCGTGAGACATACTAAATTAACTAAAATCACTGGTTACTCACGTGAATATACTGAGAAAAGCTCTACTAGTTTCGAACCACAGAGGGGTTCTTCCTCATGAGCAGCGTGCGCGGTCGCGGCGAGTGAGTTGAGTGAGCTGCGCGACATCGAAACTAGTGGAGCTTTTCTCAATATATTCACGTGAGTATCCCACGATTTTAGTTAACTTTTAAGATATTTTATTAATAAATTCTTAATATCTAGGCTTTAACTCGTCGAGTACCGGTTTTGTAGACACAATTATAGAACAATAGATGCGGTCACCGGTGACCGCTTGGTGTTTGACAGTTTAAGACAACGTTTTCTATTAGCCGATTTAATAAGAACCGCCATCACAATACTTTGCCCTCTGTCTATTCCTTCTAAACACAATAAATGATATATTACCCAAAAAAGTTCACATTAGACATATTTATACCTTCCAAACACCTCCTCTCTTGAATATATAGAACTCCTAAAAACAAAATATCTAAATCTCACAACACTTCCTCTACAAATAAAATTGTTTTACTATGCCTTGTTTTAACATACATAAATATCTAGTCAGTATAACACGCGTCTAAACATATACCTACTCGTGTCGCGGCCCGCTTCGCTGTAAAAACACTCTCTACTCGCTAGGGCCCTTACTATGAGACCTCACACTCACTTGAGATCCACTCACTCACTTATACTTGAGTTAAAAGTTCTTCTCTTCTATAGAAAAAAAATGTAGAAGTGCTATAGCACTTCTACATTCTTTTATTTATAGCGATTTTTAAATGAATAATAGATAAACAGTAAAATAATGATGAGCAATCGTAGCGAAGGTCGTAGTAAGATTGCTACGGCGTAGCGCTGTCTACGAAATTTACTACGAGGCTATGAATTTCGTAGATTTTAGGAATCTTATTCGATATAGGTTTAGCTTATTACTTCCCACAAGTACTTACTGATATGCCTCTTGTGGATAACTACAAAAGATATAAGTGCTTTTGAAGTTAGGTACCTTGCCTTTGTAAAAACAAAAGCTAAATATCAAATTATTTTAACATAAACAAAGTGAAGTTCATCTAGGCATTATCTTGAAGTTTAATCTCCAAGAGAGTCTGAACTAGACAGCTCTGACGTGACATCAAACGGTTAACAAAGACAACTTGGCGAACCACGAGAAGCTATCTAAACCTGTAATAATATAATTCTCGTAGAATAATTTCCATTACAATTCAAGTGATCATCGTGACTTGAAACGAAACCTTTTTCGCGATAACAATTGAAAATTCAACGGGTAATTTTCGTTTAAAATTTATGCCGTATTATCTTCAGGTGACCCTCGCTGGCAAACTAAAGTGCACGTTGTCAAAGCCGGCACTCTATTATTGAGCATACATTTTTAAGCTGCGATAACACTATCGCGGGCTGGGTTACGTGGTAGGCCGGGCCACGTTATCGTCAGTTTCTGCATGAACGCGCCCGTTACGGCTCCCCCTTTTACTCCCCCTATCCTCATCCCCCACCACTCCCCCAGCGATCCCGGTAGACGGCAACGGCGAGATTTTGACACTTGAGCATAATTTATTCGATCCTAAAATAGTTTATGTTATCTAGACCGGCGATATCTCGGGATTTAGGAGTCTGAAAACTTTCACAGGGGATGTTTGTTTGTAATTAATAAGGGTTTCATATTTCTAGATACATATTTATCACTAATAATGTGCATTCCATTTTGCCCAGGATGGGATACCACAATTCATGTTTTAAAGAGCAGGTTTCCCGTATTTACATTTAAAATAGTTGATACACATTCAAATGGTTTTAGAATCAGACTTCATACAAAAATGTGCATAATAGAACTAATGTTTTAATAACATTAACATTTCCGAGTAGGTACCTAGCTGTGTAAAATAATTTTGAATTCACAATTTTGTAACTATTATCTCATTAGCTTTGTCATCGAATACAGTTACGTTGTGCCACGTTATCAGAAATGGTCACAGGAATGCATAACATGTTTGTCCACAAATGTGCTATTAAAATCATTAGTAATAAATGACAAAGTGGGTTTATAAGTTTATCTCTATATCACGTAGTAATAAGGTGGATGAAGGAAAACATGGATTTTTGTGTCTTGAAAAAGATCTGTTCATCTTGTAAATGGACACTGAATGCTGATCAATTAAGGAGGTTTATGTTCAGCAGTTGACGTCTTGTAGTTAAACTGTCAAACACCAAGCGGTCACCGGTGACCGCAACCTATTGTTCTATAATTGTGTCTACAAAACCGGTACTCGACGAGTTAATTAGTAATACTATGATAATGACAATTACGGTGGAGATTTTAAAATGAAACTAGTGGAACGTTGTTTAGACTAAAAATTAACGAAAGTTAGCCATTACTATTTACTTTTGTAGGTTAGTGTAAATCACTGGGAGGTAACAGAAATGCCGGCCATTTTATTGCAAACACATATTGCTTACCTTATGAATGCACCGATATGAGTCACAACAGGAAATACATTGTGTCTCGCGTGTCTCCACGTTTAGACACACGAAAGGTTAAAAGTATTTCCCGTTCAGAAGCACCTATAAATGACCCAAAACCAACACCCCAGCTATTCCTACAACCAGCTTAAAATAATCCCCTACAGAAACACTCCACCACAAAACTGAAACCCAAACAGTTATTATTCAAACTTTTAATCAGGCCTTCATAATTGAATCCCTCACTTTTGAATCTCCTAAAGTTGTGGGATAAGGCAAAATTTACGACCGCAAACGAAGATTAGGATCGCAACTCGAATAAGTACTCGAATACTCGAATAAATTCTCGAAGTATCGACTCGTGTTTGTCGAATTAACTGGCGCTTGTTCACTTTGTCTTAGTAACTTTGGACTGGCAACCAACCGCGACTTCTTACTAAGTTTAATTCCTAAACATTATAATAGATTAATAGAAGTGGTTGGAGTTACAAGTGGTGAGCTGTTTTGGTTGTTAAACAGGCGTGGGAGATTTGTTCAGTTTTGATTTATTTGGAACTCGATTGTTGTATTAGTATAAAATGGCAAATGGATTGAGTGGTTGCTCGTTGCAGATGCAATTCATAACATCATCACGCCTTTTATCACCGAAGGGGTTGGCAGAGGTGTACCTACATTATGCCACTGTACAATGTACCTAACACCCACTTTTCACTATTTATTTTATAAGTCCCTATATGGCAATAGGGGGTGAGCCTATTGCCATATACCGGGCACAATTCCAGACTCCGTGCTACTACTGGAAATTTTTTGAAAAACCCAGTAATACTTTTACCCGATCCGGGAATCGAACCCGAGACCCCTTGCCCGGCAGTCGCACTTGCGACCACTCGGCCAATGAGGTAGTCAGATGCAATTCATTATATAAGGTGTCCTTTTTGAAGTCTTCATTCTTAGGCATTCGGTTCTAAAATGATTTCAAATACTTAACAGTTTAGTAGGTGCAATAGGACTATTAAATCACATCGGACAAAAAGTTATATTTCTAAAAATTTTTATTGCTATCTCAGAATCCGCTTTAAAAATTGAATACAAAAAGTTTCTTACGAGATTCATTTCATAAAAAGACTAGAACTATTACTCTGACTTGTTCTAGTAATATTCATCACTTCCCTATTAATTATTGACCTTTGTTCGCAGACGAGGAGCCCCTTGAAGGTCTAGAAGGTCTACATTCAGATGAAACGGGATCTGGAGATAATTCTAACGCAGGCTCCAGCGGCGCGGACGATGACGCCGCTCGGCTGCGGCTCAAGCGAAAACTGCAGCGGAATCGAACCAGCTTCACCAATGAACAGATTGATAGCTTGGAGAGAGGTATGTATAAAATGTATTTTATTTATAATATAATAAAAAAAGAACTTTAATCATGATTCACTTTGTGGCTAGTAAAACTTTGAGTTTGTTCTTCCAGTAGTTTACCCATGCTTGCCAATCTGCCTGATCGGAATGATGTACCTAAACGAGGTCTATTACACTGTCCGCTCGGTGTTTGACAGTTTAAGGATGCTTTTTTTCTTTTTCACTATTTCTTCTCTCATAGGACTCGTAACTTAAATAGTGAAAAGTCGGTGTTATATTGTACAGGTGCATTAAGTATCGTAACGTGCACCTCTGCCTACACCTTCGGGCATAAAAAGGCGTGATGTTATGTTATTTCTTCTAAAGGATATTAAGCATACATTATTTTAAAACAAAAGGCACTTTATTCAAACCTTAAAAGTCCTAAAGTAAAGTAAATACACGTATTAAAAATCGTCTAAAGATTTCAGGATTAAGTTAACCTGCGCATCATCTTTACAGAATTCGAAAGAACTCACTACCCAGACGTTTTTGCTCGCGAGCGACTGGCTGCGAAGATAGGACTGCCTGAAGCCAGAATACAGGTGAGTTTCGGAATCCTATGATATGATATCTACTCTATGATACAAACTTTTAGCTTCTGTCACTTCACATGGGATGAAAAGTAGACTACAAAACTTCGCATTTAAAATATATTAAGATAGTAAAAGTAGGATCATAGACTATCATAGAAACCTATAACGCTTCCTACATTCTTGTTATAACACTGTAATTACGAACACCTAGGAATCTATACCTAATTAATTGTAGGTTTACATTATAATTACTTACATCGTGTATTACGTGGAATTCGTACGGTCGAGTGATTCAATTTGTTTAGGTACGTAGCTATGCCTGTGTCGGTGTCTTGGTACCTATTTTAGATGGCAACCGTGAAGATTTGTCATGAGAAAGTTTCACATATAGGAATTCTTATTTTAATCGTACTTACATAGGGCTCTTTTTCTTGCTTATTCTATTGCTAGGACAAATGATATGAAAAGTGAATTGAGTGGAAATTTGCGTACCTACTACTGGCTTACCGCGAAATTGAAGTCTTCAGACATCTTCAGAAGCACATCATGGGTCATTATTATTATTTCCATTCATTCATAGGCAATACTCCTGTTCCATGCTTCTCGATTGTAGATCCCTTATCTATTCTTCAGAAATTATACTTAATCATACTTAAAATGTTTATTTTTGCTACCTACATCCCATTTTGCCTGAAAAGTATTATCTACATTCCATTACAACATGAAAATTAGTATCATCAACAAGTGTGACGCCTTGTAACGATCCTAATTGCCCCGAGCGTAGCGCCTAGCGTCCGCGCTGTGTGTTAACTTAACCCGACCTTAAGGTGTGGTTCTCGAATCGGCGCGCGAAGTGGCGGCGCGAGGAGAAGATCAGGTCGCAGCGCCGCAGCCCCGAGTGCGGGTACAGTGGGACCGCGCCCCATGCGCCGGCGCATCCCACGCATCACCCGCCGCCTGCGCATCCTGCCCATCCTGCGCATCCCACGCACCAGCCGTATCAACCGCCGCTGAATGTCGATAGTTACAGGTGAGTGACAATTTAGATATCATTGTGTTTTCACATACGTGAGTGTCTTTGCACACTTCCTATAGAGTAACAGTGTGATATTCCTCTCAATATACGATTATTTACCGCTACAGAAACAAAATCCATATATTGATACATGAAAACCTATTCACACAGTTTTGAGCACTTCTCACCATCCTTGATCCTCTAGAAATTGGTTCCAGCTAATTTGGAACAAACCACAACCTAACTTGGTGTGAGTATTACCTAAGTTTACATTTATTAAAACCTTGACCACAATTTACAGTCCCCTAACTCCAATGGGCTATGGCGGCGGTATGGTGCCTGAGACCCCAGTGTGCGATACGACCGAGGCGGAGCTGTGCAAGAGCGGGTTCCTGGGGTACCCGCGCTACGAGCTGGGGTACCGGCAGCCGCCGCACCCGTATGTCAACCATCATGGCTACCAGCATGAACCGGCGTCGCCTCCACCAGGTATTTGGAACTAAGATATACCTTTTTTTCTTTAAAGCGTTTTAATTTCACATTGTAGAATGATTATTATGCTGAAGAGCTGTTGGTCGAGTGATCTTAAGTGATTCTAGAACAAATTTCTTCAATTCCTCTTCAGTATCCAAATGAATGGTCAGCAGTAGCACGAAGACATGAATTGTTTGCGGTGTGCCAATGACTCACTATTTCATAGGACTTACAACAAATTGCTTAAAAAAACCCTGTAAAACTAAATTCGTAGATAACTTCTGGTCCTACTTCAATAATTCCCACAGCCTTAATCTCATTATATTTTCTTTCATTCTATTTCAGAATTAGGTGGTCTTTTAGGCACTGGAGTGTCAGTGCCTCTCGCTGTGCCCGGGCAAGACTCGCAGCAGTACTGGTCACGTCTCCAGTGACCCTGGTGGAACTAGCCGACGTCATAACATTATTCAATTACACCACGACGAAATTCATCAGATAATCGGCCATTTTGAATTATTAAGTGTCAGTTTCAATAAAGATACTAGTGATTTGTGATTGGTTTTTGTTAAGTTATCCTGCGGATTCCGTTGGACTTAGCTTTGAAATACTGATAATTCATAGATAAAAAACAAACTCGGTGAAGTGGTGTCAATATACCGTTTAATATAACAGAAAGGTTAGACAGAACACTGTGATTTTTGCCGTTTGGATTCTTCTGAGTTCTCATTAACAAAATAACCACGAAAAATCACTAATGTGTTAATTATTCCCATAGATTTCGACACCTCTGTCGATACCAAAACAGCTTGTTATTAGATTGAACTAATAGGGCCCCTTATTGCTCACTAGCGCCATCTAGTGAGCGCAAAACCAAAAACCTTCATTACTAATCTTAGAGTATTCAACAAATATTCTATGTTACTAATACGTTACTTTTCATTCCATTAACGATGAACTCAAATCTGTTGTAGTGCTTATGCGATCCTCCAAACAACAGTGATAAAATTAGATTTAAGAAAACATCGGAAGGCGTATGCCGTAGATAGTAAAACACCCTGAAATGTACTGTAAAAATATATCTATCTTATACTTGTATTTCTTTATTTATAGCTTTTTTGTACTTTACGGTGATATTTTATTTTTATTATCATGAGATTAGAGAACAACTAAGAACACGTATAGTATAAAGAATTAACATATCCAACAGATGCCACAAAACAGGACTTGGAGCACAAAACATAGGCTCAAATTGTATTAAAATACATTAGAATATTTCATTCAAACTTTATAATTATAAATCTTTAATAGATTTTCAGTATAATCGTTAACGATGCACATTTAATGTTGTATCTTTAGCTTACTTTGAATGAAATAATTTAATAAATCGATGTAAGTGTTAAAAATATTTTATTAAAAACTAGATAGTTAGCTAAGTTTAGAATTAAATAAGTATTTAATTGTGTATATTTGTTGTAAATGTTTAATTGATAATGCTGGCATAAATATTGTAAGAATTTTGCATTTTGACAGATGTGGCTGAATACTTGTATTACCATTGCCTTCTATAGATATAAAAAGCCATAGATACCGACCATAATGATTTTACAGTTGTCTATAATCACAAACAGGATTTCATAATGGTCTAATTTATTAAAATCCCTTTAATATATTAAACTCTTTCACTTACAGTAGCGATGTAAATTTAGATTTTTTTATGAGAAACAGGGCTTGTTAGTTATAAGTGCGAATTGTAAATAGTTAATTTTGTGTAATTGTTCATTGTGATTATCCCTTTGTAAACCTAATGAGATCGCAGTGAAATTAAATACTGCATTCATTTAGGTACTTTGTTTAATGTCCGTAGCAATACTTACACTTTTAATATTTTTGTCCTGAATTAGCTCCATTTGATATGAAAGGTAACTAGTTGATTTCAACCTGGATTGTATCTCTCAGCTTGTCTTAGAAGAAAATTAGTTGCAGCACTAGTTTGGATCAACCTCACGGAGTTAATTTCGAATTTACGATTAGTTTTTAATGTGTATATGTATTGATTATAAATAAAAATGTGAATAATTGTGTGATGTCGATGATACATTTTAATAACATTATATGAATACACTTTTGGATCAAAGTATTTGGTTGTTTTATTTGAGCCTAGTTGCGCCATCTGTGTGAAGAAAGTAGAATCATGTTATTGAACTGTTTTCGGCCATTCTCCGGTTTGACGTTTCTTAATAACCGTGGCCATTTTTAAATTGTCTACAAAACCGCCAATCAAATTGTTACATGATGTTAATGATAGCATATATCTTTGGTTCGTTTCATACTTTAATATGTTCAAAATAAAACGGTCACGGTAATTAGGCAATTCAAACCGGAGAATGGCCGTTTCCATATTTTTCTGGTATCTAAATAAAAACAAAAGAACAACATAATAATTAAACATGACATTTCTTAATTTTAAGGGTTAGATCATCTGATAGAAAGTGATCACCGCAGCACCCATTTACACCTGCAACACCTGCGTTGCCGATCTTATATGAATAAAACTTCATCGTCTAGCAAATCACTATAATATTTTAAGTAATTTTCAATAAATTCAATTAAAGCTTTAAACACTACAGCAAAATATAAACATGAACAAACGCTAAATACGTATATTTACCTACCTTATAAGTCACACAAGTATTGCTTGTCACAGTTTAAAATAAATTATAACTACTTAATGTAGACGTTTTGAAAACCTAGCAATAAATATATTGCTTCTAACAACTTAAAGTCGAACTTTGTACGAGTTTTTTTACTTAAAGTAAATCCTAAATACTAAGAATAGTGACAATCATAATTCTTCATTTAACAGACTGTCGATATCGTTTAAAATGCTAGTTTCTGTGCTGTCATTTTTGGTGTTCATTTGTTGGTGACAGCTGGCTACTACGTCGGGCATAACAGCATTTTTACTCAAGTCTAAGTCTAAATCTGAAGCAGTTATCTCACTATCATCTTGGTCCTCACTAAGATCTACTACATCTATAGGTTCACCTAGCCTAGTGGTCTCTAAATCTATAATCTCACTATCCGAATCAATCTTATCTAAATCTACTGAATTCATTTCGTTTAACTCGACCCCTACTATTTGTACTTCAGAATCTGATTCATCTGTTTTATTTAAATCTATGTCATCATATTTTGGTTCCTCTGTGCTTTTGTTTGAACTAGACAGTCTGTTCCTAATGAGTTTGGGTTTGGCAGTCTGTTCGTCAATCTTTATCCTCTTAAATTCGAAACAATTGTCCACGAGCTCATCTTCTTGTATTTCATAGATGTCGCTCTGTTCCGACAAAGTTCGTTTCCTATCATTAGCTTCATTATTTTGTTTTTGGTCGACTTTAGACTGATTTGAAACCGTAGGAGCATTGCGATCAAGTTTTTTGTAAACGATCGAGTTGCTTCTAACGACTTTGAGGATTTTATTGCCCGACGTAGTGATAGTTTCGTGTGTGGACAGCTTCCTCTTTCTACTCAGGTTGAGTGTGATAGGTTTACTGTGTATGATGGTATCGTTTTTCTTACGGGCTCTGATCTCTTCCAGGGAGAGCACCTTGAAGTCCAGTGAGGTGCGGCGCTCGGTGGGTTGCTTGGTACCTGCGATCTCGTCGAGTGTGACGCGCTCGTACTTGGTGGCGAGGTTCGTGCGCACGATCTTGCGCTCCTTGTGGTCCGGCGGCGGCAGGCCCTCGTAGCTGTAGTACGCGGCCGCCTCCGCCTGTATTTTCTCGAGGAGCAACAACTCCTGCGACTTAGAGTTAACCACTTTGTTTGCGTCGTCCGGCGACACGGTTTTAGTGGGCGTGGAAGAGGGTGCGCTTTCATTATCCGACTCTGCAAGAACACACGAACGAACCGCTTAGTCGCGAGAATCAAAACTTTCCAAATGATTTTCGTAATTAATTTTGATGCGACCCGTCCGGCAACATTCGCGGTGTGTTCTTGTATGGTCAATCTGAAAGCGACTCTCGAAGGGGGCGGTCAAAAATAATTACAAAAATCATATTACGAAACATTTTTATTTACTCGTTGGTATATTAAACACAATTTGATTAAACAAAGCCAAAGTATAATCTGTTCCGTTACGAGTTCCTATATCAGTTTGAATATTAGCTTAAACGAAAGGTACTAGACACGCGTTACTAATAATAAACATATTTTGAAATTCTTATTATAAAATAAGACTAAGATTAACATAACAACAACCCCGTATTATTTGAAACAAGAAAGTATCAGTAAATCAGTAGGCACTCGGTCCCACGTCACGGAACACAACGTGTAAGTATCAAAAGTGCTGCATTACTCATTTCATTACATTTACCTCACTTTCGCACACATATACAAATCTTAGAAAAACATTCGGATTTATAACCGATCGTGATCAAATGTGGATGACATGTTTGACCTCCGAGGTACGTTCAAATCCGTGCATTCATACCCTCCCTCCGTCAGCAGTCCATTAAATCAGCGAACACATAAATATAAAAAGCATCCCACATTCAACAAAATCGGTTAGTACAAAGTACAAACATAGTCTATGCCGACATCATTATGAAATGTCGTACGAGCGCTCCGGAGAACCACTTACAATATAATGTCTTACCAAGTCTTTTTTCTATTCATTTAATAATATAACTGCTGAATAGAATAAGGAAATAAGCAATTACGTAGATAAGTTAGCTCATAGATAGTGATTCGTTCCATAATCGCCGTACATTTCACAAAGACTCGAGCGCTGTCCGTGCGACAGAAATTTAACTGTCTAACATAAAACATTAACATTCCAAAAATTAATCTAAGGGTAAATAAATAGTTTATTAGTATAAAAAGAGACAAGACTACAACATTATACTAAATATAAAATGTATTGCTACAGTTACGAGAGAAACCAATTTCATTTTTTTTTTCAATAATTGCCTGTGAAAGCAACCACCCTTTGTACTAATTCATTCTAAAAATTATACTCCTACAAGTTTCAGTACACGTTTCCGCTAAATTTATATAAAACTTAAAATAATTTTATCTCCCTTTTTCAAGCGAACACTTTAAGAAATTTGAGAATATATTTTTAAAAAACAAATGTTGTGTAAAATAATAACTGAGCATGTTAAACAATATAAGCAACCTCCGACTTAATCTATCCCCACCAATCGAGACTATTTAATATTGATAAATACTTTTATACATAAATAATGACTAGGCGTACCATGGACATAACGCGAACCGATTCATTTACTACCTATCCTGTTCACATTTGCGATTTTGTAATAAATATAGGAACTTTACTCTCAGTGCAAAATATATATGAAATGAATCCTTTTCCCGGCGGAGTTACACAACAAATATATTTGAGTAATGGCGTTCAATAAACGTACCGACGTGCTATCGTAGTACTCGGTAAATCGGAAGCGTTATCAGACGTTACCAAAGACCGCAAAGCAAACGAATGCTCTTTTTTGTTAGCTTATCTCTTTTTTTTTCTTTCTAAATTGGTAGTTATGATCTTAAGCACATTTTTTTTTAATGACGGAAATCACAGCCCCACATCTCTTGAATCATATAAAACTGTGCTTTCCGTGGTGTATACCTATAGATACATTTTTTTTTTCATCATTTTATTAGCTCTATCTAAATCTCACGGTGCGAATATATAAGTATTGGGGGCAGGTAGCAGTGGATACCTTTATAAACTGCCAAAGCCCCTTAAAACATCCTACATACTAACATACAAACAATTTAAAGGCATAAAGCTGTTTTTTTTTTCTTTTTTTTTCACCTATATTAATGAGTTACAATAATCGTGTATATATATTTTTATTTGTATTTTATATGTTATTAAACCTATTTATTATGTACTTTTCTATCATAGACAAAGATTATATCAACATCTATTTAAAAAAAGTATTGCAGTGATATTTTGAGAGCAAACTCAAGGTTTTTTCTTAAAATATGACTGAAACTGTCTATCTATGTGATATAAATGTTATATAATGATACAGTAAATGAAAAAGCGAGAGATATTAATGAATCTAATTAGCTAAGATATGAAAGAGATTATATTCTCTAATTTATTTATTGCACATACAAAAATACCAACGTCGCTTTTTCTCAATATTATTTTTTTAATAAACGTGAGAAGAGAGCTATCGTAAATTCTTCGTGAGCCAAATATAATCTCACTTTGTTTAATCATTGTCTATGGTATAAAAAAACAGCTAAACATTGTCTAAGTTAGAGTCAACCAAAAAGCCGCCTCATCCGGCAACATAAAAAAACAATATTGTATTTAGTTAAATTAACCTTGGATCCAGTTTCAGAAGTTCTTCCCAAACTTTAAGTCCACTCCCGCCTCGCTAATATTGAATAAAAAATTGCGAAACTGAACCCAACTATAACTATACAATAAATACTATATTAATTGACTATTGACGAAATAAAAACAATAATAATACCTTCCAATAAACAGGTGTTAGTATGTCGCATCACGAACTGGGTGAACAAAACAAATGTATTTTCTTTCTACAAAAGTTAAAATTAATAAAGCGGCAAGTTAGGAGCCTCCCGCGTAAAAATATATAAAACAATAAATTCCCACTTCGCTAGCGACAATAAACGTAGGAAAAAATTCTTAACCAATAACATGTGAATAAAATAAATATATATATTTTTTAAAGTAATAAATCTAACACTTTTCTAGGTCGTTTTTTATACATAAATATTTTTATTGGCACAACAAAGGGTTGAATTCTAAAAATAATATTGAAACCCTTTCAATGCGACCTACGACCAACAATTTGACGTGGATCTAGTCAGCAGTGCCATATTAGTTTTAGTATACATAAGCATAGTGTTATATTTAGAAAACAAAAACAAAAAATGAGCGTTTGAATTTTAACATCGTTAATGCTTAACCCTACGCATACCGCCCATAACATGACAATGCAGAGTTTCCAACTATCGAATTATTACAATAATGCATGTCAGCCTCCCTGTCCATCGGAGCGTATCATCGAACACTATATCGATATCCTACGTATCGATTTTCCTTCCTATAAATTCATCAAGTTGCGTTACAACAAGTATACAATTACTCAGTTAATGCGCAAAGCTTACAGTGCGGTGGACAGTGAGCCCAACGTTACAATCACATCGTCATCAAGCGGTTGGCTCGAACATTAGACTTAGTGTCTGAGAGCCATGAAATCGATATTAC